TAGGAGAAGGAAAGCTCTGGTTGTAAACCTCCGCTGTCTTACTGGTTATCTTTGGGAGAAGAAAAGGCTATGGAGTAAACCCTGCACAAATCTGGAATGGAGTCCCTAAGACAATTGGATGGCGTCTTGTACGCCTCCTTCTGGCAACTGCTACAGCCAAGCTGGTGCCAAATGTATTGCTCTACTTTCCTTTGGACCACATCAGCGAGGCCAAGAGGGGGGTCTTGTCGCATGGGCAGCCCTGGACCTCCAGGCACACTCGCCTAGGCTTCCACCCCGGGAGGTCACTTTGGTGCTGCTAAGGAGCAGTTTGATTTCACCTCTGGAGGCGCACTCCATTGTCGCTCAAGACAGACGGATGCCAGCAACAATAAGATTATGTAGCCCTTCCCTGCTGCAGCAACATGAAGAAGATATTTTTAAAATTGGAGGTCTGAGAACTGATACCTTTTTAACTCTGAGGAGCAACTCTATTTAAATGTAAAGTTTGGAAATCAAAGCAAATAGATAGGGTGAAAACATGCCCTGTTGAATCTGCTGCAGAAAAAAACACACCCTTTCTCCATGTACTGGTAAGTGTATGGGTGAGATGTCTTTATGTCTGCCTGTGTGCAGCCTGACAGCTCTGATCTTTACAATTCCCCACAAGGCAGTTTAGCACCTCCCTAAGTGGGACTGTCTGCTAGCATTTCAGCACCTGCAAATCAGGCTCAAGGAGTAATCAAAGTGTGATAAACATTAATTAGGATAATCGCCAATAGCTTAATGGGGGTGGAAGAAGAAATCTTGATTACGTTTTTCCCTCATGGGAATTCTACCCGTCAAGTTTTTGATTGCACTTACTCAGACATGAAATAAGACGTGGAGAAGCTGCTTTGAATGTGAAAGGGGGGAAAGAGGCAAACAAGTAGGGCTGGGATGTTTTCCCCCCCTTGTGACCGAACACTTGAACTTATTTGGCTTTCCTGTGGGGAAAACACACACACAATAATTTGTTGCCTTTCAAACTTTTGAGGGGAAATTGGCATTTATAATGGTCTTTAAATGCATCCCTGATCACCCATAAATTGGAAGTGTCTGCTGTTTCCCTCTGTGCTTTCACGAGCAAATAATTGACTGTATAGAAGAAGTTTTGTGCGGGGGTTTTATTGAATGTGCAGCGCTCTCCAAGGGCACCGATGTCTCCAACTCTCTCCTGACTCTGAAAAGCCATTGCCGGCCTCCCTCTGCTCCTCCACACAGGAACAGCAGTTGTCTAAGCTGGTACCATGCTTGAAGGAGAGAATCGTAGAATTTTAGAGTTGGGAAGGGACACCCAAAGGTCGTCTAGTCTGACCCCCTGCACTGCAGGAATCACAGCTGAAGCATCCATGGCAGATGCTTAAAAACTTCCAATGAAGGAGAGTCCTGCAACTTCTGAAGAAGTCCATTCCACTGTCAAACAGATTTTACCACCAGAAAGTTCTTCCTGTTGTTTAGTCAGAATCTCCTTTCTAGAGTCCTACCCTCTGGAGCAGGAGAAAGCAAGCTTGCTCCATCCTCCATGTGGTTTTGTATATATTGTGGCATTTTATGCATTGGGACTTGCAGTTATTTTTATTATTCATAGTTTAGTAAGTATTGTAATTATTAAGAGTGAATTTCTAATTACCATTTGCTGATGTTTTGAGAGTTAATTTTATAGCGTACTATTATATTCCAATAGATTATTAAATATTACTTTATTTGATATAAGTCGTTTCATTTTAAAGTTAGGTTTTATTATTACCTTTTGTATTGGATCAGATTATTATAAGCTGTGTGTTCTTTGTGGTATATTTTGATGCTGTAAGTCGCCATGTGCATAGCAATATTGAAGGGCGGCATACAAATTAAAAGTGAAATGAAACAAAATGAAAATTCATTCTTGGCCCTGCACCCCAGTAGTGCTGTGGCTGCCCCACACTCTTGAACTCATACGTGCGCGCGCACACACACACACACACCTCTCTGCCCACCGCAGTGCTGAGTCTATACTTCAATTCCCCCTTTTTACTGTTGCCACCCAAACCTGTGAGGTCAGGGGGTTTGTGTGTACACAATAGTTTCTGTCTGGAATTCAGCCTTGTGCTCACCCTTAATCTGCCATTTTGCATGTACGAAAGATGGGCTTCAGGAGCTCCTATGCTTGGCGTCTGCCAACCTGCAAAACCACAGGGCATTCCTGCTGGCGACTGTTCGGTTTCAGCACCCAAGGCTGGCAGCTGTACAGACCACCTTTCCCTTCGCCTGCCCCCCCCTCTCTTTTACTGCTCTATCCTATACATATGCAGTAGGTCTTAGGGGGACAGTCATTTAATACTTGAGCTGTTTTATCCTCTTGTGCTGTTCATTTCTCATTTCGTTCTGTAATGTTCTTTCTCCTTGACTGATCATTTACTTTTCTACTTGAGACATGAAATTGGAGTTGCTTGGTATTCTGGGAAGGTCTACTTCGCAGCTTTCCTTGACGTTTCTGGTGCTCGGCTGTAATTGCCTAACCTCCTCCCATTCTTTCGGGGGCCCTCTCTTTATTGGAGTGAGTTATTGTTAGTCAATTTGTGCCTGCCTAGGACCCAGCTACTGATTACAAATGACCCTTCGATGACTTATCTGCCTCAGGCAGTTAGTGCCGGCTGGTCTCTTGTTTATCGAACAGTTTGGCACATATTAATTGCGAACACTGACCTTCATTTCTGAGCCATCCCTAGCCCTGTATTGCCCTGTGAATCCAAGACTTTATAAACCACACTGGAGTTCACTCTCTTTAACTCCTAATATGGCCTCTCTATCTTATTCAGGCCCCTCTTCCATCACTGCATGCATCAAATCCAGGGGCAACAGCTGCTACCAGAGCATTGGTGCCTTATCCCATCAGACAAAAGGCACTGCATAGTTGTGAAGATCACCGATGAACAAAGTTATGTTCTCACTTATGCATTAAGAGTATGGATTGACAAAGTTGCCGCAAAGCATGGAGATTCTGGAAATGCACTGGTCATCTGTATACAGGTTAGAATAGGGAGCTTATGAAGAGGCCAAACAGACAAATCCAGTGTCCATTTAAGTCCAAGGGTAGCCAATGTTTTGCCCTGCAGATGTTGTAAACTAACTTCTATCAGCTCCAGACAGGATGGTCAATGGATACATCCTGAGAGATGTAGTCCATATCAACCGTAGGCCACCATGTTGACTACCCTGATCAAGCCTTAGCATCCTGATTTCAACAGTGGCTAACTGGGTGATTCTGAAGGACCAGCTAACAAGGGCATGACAGCAACAAGGGCATGCCCTGCTATTTACCTGCTGGTATTCAGTGGTCCGTGGAAGCTGAACATGGATAATTTTTCAAAGTCTTAACGCCAAGGTTGCTGGTTCGATCCCCATATGGAACAGCTGCATATCCCTGCATTGTAGGGAGTTGGACTAGATGATCCTCAAGCTCCCTTCCAACTTTATGATTGTATAAGGAGCTCAGGGTGGCATACACTTTTGTCTTCCTGTTCCATATTTTCCCTTCATAGCAACTCTTAGGCCGGGACTGGGGAACCTGTTGTGACTCCCAGCTCCCGTCAGCCTCAGCTAACATAGCGGTCAGGGATGATGGGAGCTGTAGTCCAACAACATCTAGAGAACCTCACATTCCCTATCCTTGCATTTGACTGTGAGATGGTGACTGACCTGAAGTCATCCAGTGAGCTTCATGGCTGAGTAGGGATTTGGACCCAGGTCTCCCCAGTCTTAGGTTGATACTCTAATAATCAAACCAGGGACGAGGAATCTTTTCTTGTTAAAGGTTGCATTCCCTCAGGGTTAAATTGAAAGGGGACCAGAGCCGAGCATGGGGGGTGGGGAGCCTTCCTTCCTTCCTTCCTTCCTTCCTTCCTTCCTTCCCCACCCAGTGGGCTACCTGGGGAGGGTGAGATCACTCTCTTGCCAAAGATCTGGACAGATTCCTTGCAGAGCAATGGCTTCACAATTGGAGGCAGTAATGCTTCTGAATACCCGTTGCTGGAAACCACAGGAGGGAAATGTGCTCTTGTGCTCAGGTCTTGTTTGTGGGTTTCCCCTGGTTTGCTGCTGCCTGCCGTTTACCATTCTGCTACAGAGTCCTGGCCATCTGAGACCCTTATCGGTGCTCCCCCCATCACCACACTATCTCTGTCCTTCTGCCTTGAACAGATTTATATTCTAGTGCTTTTGCAATTCAGAGAAAAGGGGCAGATGTTGGTTTGTTTGAACTGTAGGTTGGACTCACACCTTTATCTGCCTCTTAAAGAAAGGACCTCTGCCGCTCTCTGTTTCTAAACGTGTCCTTAAGACTCACCTGAAAGGAATCCTTGATTTTTCATAGCAGAACTTCAGGCTGTACTTAGAGAGGAGACATAACACGGCATTCCAGCTGGTTAAGTCAAGGAAGCCCTAAATATAGTATAAGGTGAATATAAAATGCATTGCGGATCACAGCCCAACTACAATTGGGGTGCATGCAGATGACTGTTTGCCAAGTAATTTTTGCCATCCTGTTACACTGTGGTTGTGATTCCCTGTAACCACTTGGGAAGTAAGTCATCTTCATCTGCATTGGCTTGCAACTTGGGAAGGAAACCTTGGCAAGCTTCTGTATCTGATCAGAAATTTAAGGAGCAGGAAGAGGAAGGCAATACCAGTGACCAGCTTACCAAGTGGTCACATGCATGATGTGGTGACTTCTCAATTATTAAAATGTTCTCTGTCTTCATCCTTAATTCCTGTTTGAACCCCATGGAGCTTCAGTTAGTCACAACTCATTGCCCTGGTGCTCTGAGTGTTGACTTGCTTCCTTTGTGGATTGAGAACCCTTGCAACAATATCAGTATCATGTGGGAAGAGGACAGAAAGGAAGAATAATAGAATCACAGAGTGGTAGAGTTGTAAGGAATCCTGGGGGTCATTTAGTCCAACCCCCTGCAATGAAGAAATCCTGCAATTCAGGAATCTATTGCCCAACACAGGGCTTGAACCTGCAACCCTGAGATTATGAGTCTCATTGCTCTACCAATTGAGCTACCCCAGGAGTTAAAATGTGAAAGGCTTAAAGGCATGTGCTTTGCATATTTAAGATCCCAGGTTTAGTCCTTTGGGTTTTGAGTTTAGGGATCTTAAGATATCAGACCCGAAGGCCACAGAGAGCCTATTCCATTCAGAGTAGATAGAACTTGGGTGGGCGGGCTGCTAGTCTGACTTGGAATTGGAATAAGGCACATATTCATTCGAAAATGAAAAGGTAAAATGATGCTGGCATGCTCAGCTGTGCAGTTTTTTTCCTTTTCATGTGGAAGTTATTGGAGGTGCCATTGTTCACTGTGAGGCAGCTTTCGAAATCAAAGTGTTCTTCTTGTTGTTTCAATATTTTATGAAATATTACAAATACTCAATGACAGTAAATAGCAGGGAAGGTTCCAAACTATGGTTGAAATAAATAAAAATTTCTTGTTCATAGTCACACCTGTAAGTATAGAGCCTACTCTAGGATGCAGTGCAGAAGTAACAGTGTGTATCCCTCAGTTTCTTGGTTTTATTTTTAGGTTCTCTACAGATGTGTTGTGAATTTGCTGCCCTAGCAAGGCTGCAGTAACAATCACTTTGTACACCTCCCTTAGTCAGCAACAATTGGATTATTGACTTGGGGATCTTATATGCAGTTTGAGCACTTGTATGTGCCTCGGGCGGAGATTTTGCTGGCACTGGTGAAAAGCTCGGAAGGATTAAATTTGGGTGGGAGGGGTAGGTTTCTTAATGGGGGGAGGGAGTAAAGGCAGGTGCAAAATGAAGCAATGTTAGTTATTTGGCCTGCCCACTACATTGCCACTCCAGCAGAGCTGGATTCTAATATTTTCCCATCAAAACAAAACCAAGCACTGTCAGATCCTCAACCCTGTCGCTTGCTCAATCCTTCTGTCATCTAACACAAGCAAAGTGTTCGCCTGGTCACGCAGCACTGCCAAATCTTGGAGATGGTTTATAGAGGACAGTGTAAACAACCACATTGAGATCCAAGAAGGCTAAAATGTTTGGCAGACGCAAACTGACGGTAGCACAGGGATGGGGAACCTCAGGCCTAGGACTCCAATACGGCCCTCCAGCCCTCTCTGTGTGGCCCTTGGAACTCTCTGCAGGCCACATCCTTCACTAGCCCAATTTCACACTCAAAGGGCCTTTGCCCAGCCAGAATGTGTGCCTGAACTCTGATAACGCCTCTTCTTTTTCCATACGTAGGTTAAAGAGGGGTGTGTGAATGTGTGTATAAAGGTAAAATTTGCATTAGTTGGTCTGCCCACTTTTGTCTCTGACCTCACCCACCACCGGCATGTGGCCCTCCAAAGGCTGCCCAGAAAGGAATGCGGCCCTCAGCCTGTAGAATGTTCCCCGCCCCTGCTGCAGACAAATGCAGAAATTAGCAAGAATAGCTGGTTTCAGAGGCCACAGGAAAAGTCGGAAAAGTGTAGGTGGCTGAGCAGTTAAGTGGTTTGTTGGCTTAACAGTTGAGTATTTGGTCTGAACCTTTGATTCTTTCTTAGGATTTCCCAGCAAGTGGAGGCTAGCCGGACACAGCTGCGGGCTATTGATGAGAGAGTCACTCTTGCTCAAGCCAAAATCGAGAAGATAAAGGGCAGCAAGAAAGCTATCAAGGTACCGCATGCTTGCTGTGGCTACTCTTCTGAAATCCCTCACACTGGTTTGACTAAAGGGCCCAACTTATTAAATATGGGAATCTGGTGTTGGTGGATTCTTGCAGTTGCCCAGTCCAGATTTCGCCCCCTGCTCTTGGCCTCTGTACTGGAAGAAATGTTTTCCCTGACCTGATGGTCCAAATACATTCCCCGTGCAAGGAAAGCCAATGTGATGCCCTCCAAATATTGGTGGACCTCAGCTCTCGTCATCCCTGACCATCGCCCTTGCCAGTTGAGGCTGCTGGGAGTTGGGGCCCTATATGTAACACCAGTGTCCCCTTTATGGACTTTAATTATCCTTTGATTTGGGTCGGAGGAAGAGGAAGTTTTCACTGGCAGAAAAATGCAGGGCATTACAACCACAAATTCGAGGTGTTTGGAATTTCTCAGAGCTCTTATGCTAAAGCACTGCACAGCTCTAAGCTCATCTGCAGCAAGCCTCTCTTCTCTTTTTGGAGGAGTGGGGGTGGAATTCTATTGCCTTTAATCTCCCCAATTCAGTTTCTCCTATTCAATCCTAGAGCATTACTGAGCCCAAAGGATGTTCCTCAATAGATTCCCCCTGCTTTCCAATATTCCAAAGTCCTCTTCTCTTTTATTATTTCAGCCGCATTTCTCCCCCTCCCCCAGTGCATAAAGTGCCTTGCAGTATTTCTATCTTTCTTTCATTGGCAAATGGCTGAGTTTGAGCGTTAGAAGTCAGAGATGAGGGCTCGCCCACAGTCCCTGGGGAACTGTTAGCTGAGACAGGGCTTAAACTGATTTCCCCCGTCTGGAATCACATTGACCCACAAGGGGTCTCGCTAGTGACATTGCAAGTGCTCCATTCTCATATTATGCCTATGATTTTGAGTCCACTAAGTGCATTGTTGTAAAGGGTTCTCCTGGGAGGGTGCCCTTAGACAACCCCACCTGCTCTGGAGTTCCTTGGAAGAGGGATGCTGAATGGCCAGGGTAAAAACCAACCCTGCCAGGTAGTACCTGCTGCCACCTGTTAGTCCCCCAGCCTGAGCCAGGGGAAACTCAGGCTCTTTCTGGACATCCTTGGCATTCTCAGAGGCAAAAGACAGACCAATCGCTGTCCTTTGAGCCCCAAGCCCACAGTTACTCAACAGCATAACACCAAGCACCCAGGTACCAGATTTAGAGCCACAGCAGGATAAGTGCAATACTTTGTTCAGGAGGGTATAAGCATAAAACCCACTGCCAATAAAAGACAACTAAGAAAAGGCTAAGGACACGGGTGGCGCTGTGGTCTAAACCACTGAGCCTCTTGGGCTTGCCAATCAGAAGGTCAGCAGTTTGAATCCCCGCGACGGGGTGAGCTCCCGTTGCTCGGTCCCTGCTCCTGCCAACCTAGCAGTTCGAAAGCACATCAAAGTGCAAGTAGATAAATAGGTACCGCTCCGGCGGGAAGGTAAATGGCGTTTCCCTGCGCTGCTCTGGTTCTCCAAAAGCGGCTTAGTCATGCTGGTCACATGACCCAGAAGCTGTGCGCCAGCTAATAAAGCGAGATGAGCGCCGCAACCCCAGAGTCGTTCGCGACTGGACCTAATGGTCAGGGGTCCCTTTACCCTTTACCTTTAAGAAAAGGCTAACAGTTCAAAAATGCATTCAGGAATTTGAGTGCAGAGGAGGAAATAACAAAGCCAGCTTCTCTCACCCTAATACCAACCATTAAAGTCATGGGCCCCATTGAGGCAGCAGGCTACACCCAGGCCTGCATAGAGGTTGCAATTCACAACCCTTCTTTGAGCCAGGGCCATCAGACCAAAGTTGGAGACCATTTTAATAGAGAAGGGTAGATTTTGCTTAGCCTGTCAGGGTCTTGGGGCATCTCCCCTCTATCGCTGGAGGCTGTACGTTCAGGTTGACCATGCAGCTGCTCAGTTAATTCCTGCGCATAGTGACCTTGGCACCAGACACCCACAGGTGGCAAGATGAACTAATTAATGGAGCTTTTCCCCCTCAGTGGAGACTGTACTCTAATTCTCAGTAAAAAGCCATTTTAAAATGAGTCAAAAAGGGGGAGTGATTTCTTTGCAAGTATATTTCATATCTCAGAGTGCCTCAGCATGACTTGTAGGTTTATTGCACTGGTAAGGAATTGAAAGCTAGGAATTGAAAGCACCCAAATGCCGTTCATGAGTCCTAACTTTGCATTAACAGACTGATCCCATATGTGCTCACTTTCCAGCGCCACATTGAATGTGGCCAGGCAACATGCCCTTTTCCTGTTCGGGTTCTATTTCTCCCTTTGCGTTTGTCCTCCCAGGTGTTCTCCAGTTCCAAATACCCTGCTCCCGAGCGGCTGCAAGAGTACTCCTCTATTTTTGCCGGTGCTGAGGACCTGGATGCACAGAAACGACCAAGGCGCAAGATTCAGAGCAAGCACAGAGTATTAGATGAGAAAACTCTGCAGGTAAGGCAGACAGCTTGGCAGCATCCTGTATCCGCAGGGATGGGACTCCTCTTGGGTTTGGATTTTGAATGGCTGGGATGTGTGGATGAAAGCCTTAATTGGGGCGGCAGGAATAGCATTAGGAGAACCCTAGGGAATCAGAAGTATGGCAGAGAACCGGGGGGTTCTCTACCCCTGTTGCTGTATCAGGGTACCAAATCAGGGTGGCAAGTGTGTGTGCGTGCATGCGCCTGCATGCGTCCGTGTCCCCTACTGATTGTGTCACCCAGAGGTGGGGGACAAACTGCTTTCTGAGTTGTTTGGGGCCCACACGGACAGGCTGAGGAAGAAGAGAGGAAAGAAGCTCTCAGTTCCCTTGGTAATTGTCTACTTCTCCCAGGCTCTGGTCTGGAGGTTTTCAAACTCTTATGCCTAGGAAGTTCTTTGGATAGTTCTTAAGGTGTTCTCCATAACGTGAGCTTCCTGTTCACAAGGAGCTCCATTTCAGAGTGTTGTGCCCTCGCTAGAACATTGGAGCTACTGAACCAGAGTCTGTGCCCACAAACCTGGAGTATTTTTCCTTTTAGCAAGTAAGTTTTATAATGCAACTGGCAGTTCCTCCGGCTCTTAGGATTCCCTCTGGGATTCCCTTGTTGGCTGCGGAGAATCAGCCAGTTAAGTACCCAAGAGTGGCAAGCAATATAGCTCACCAATCATTTTACAGGTCTTATTTTAGCCAGGGAAACGTTCTTATCCTCAAGAGGAGTGCCAGCATGTGATGCTGCCTTCCTCGGACGTGGCTAACATGCAGTTCTGGGACCTGGAACAGATGGGAAAACTCTTCTTCTTCTTTTTTCCAGACCAGAGATCAACTATAAACTGCTTCTGGGCACACTCTTTCTTTCCTCCTTCCTAGAGAACCCAAAAATAAAGCTGCCTTTGA